ATATGTTACTTGAATACGAAGGAGCCAGCTGAAAAGCGCAGGAACGGCTTAGACCGTCCTGCATACGCTGAGCTGGCTACCTTTTGCCACGATATGTTTTCTTTAGAATAAGTCCTTTTTTGTAATTTGTTTTTTGTGATAATAAATACTTATTCATTCATTCATACTCATAGGCTATTTTTTTTTAATTCTAAACGGAAGGAGTCGTGGTCGAAAGCTAGTGAAGATGTATTTTCATGCAAAAAAACATACAAGTAATTAAATTGAAATCTTATGGCACAGATTATAGTTAAAGGAAACATATTATTTAAAGAAGATACAATATTTAAAGAAGGAGGTTTTTATTCGTTAAAAAAGATCAAAATTAGTTTTATAATTAGAGCGTATCTTGTTTTATTAGCCATATTGAACTACAGTTAAAATAAAATTCGGTCGTCGACACTAAATAACGGGTTCAATGCAAGAGTAGAGTTAAAACGAGCTATAAATGTTTTTTGTAATAACTTTTTTAAAAACTAAGTATTGCGTTTATTTCTATCAGTTTATTTATTGGCGTTTTCCTGCTTTCAGTGACATTATTAATAGGTAAAAATAAGTCTGGTAAGAAATTGATTTATGAGAAAAGTGCTGTCATCTTTAGATTTAGAAGGGAAGACAAACAGAACATCTGAAGGTCTAAAATTTCGTGCGCTAACTCCATATGTAGTGTGACTAGCCCTCTCGCGAATTCAACCTCGTAAAATTAAAAAATAATACTCACTGATAACATAGCTTTTTAATGGTGAAAGATTTTTTTAAATCAGCCAAGTAGTTTTTGAGTTAATACACACACACACACACACACACACACACACACACATACACACACTCATAAATACTCGACTGGAACAACGCTCCAATACAAAAATTTTTTTTTTCTTTTTTATAATAATAATTATAATGTTTTTCTTTGTATTTTTGTTTAGACACTTACAATGATATATTTCTATTCACAAATGGGGAAAGGGATAGGCTCCTGCGGCACAGGGGAACCTAGTACAGGAGCCAACGTTCACATGAAATGTATATTTTCAAAAGTGAAATAATAAACCATTTGTTTATTTATTTATTACAATACATATAAAAATACAAATCTTTCATCTTTGTATAGAAGTATATAAAGAGGTAGTAATAAGTATAGTATTGATAAAGGCAGAGACATGATCCGAATATTGACCTTTGAAATTCCGACCTTGAATACTTCAGAATATCATGAATTGTTAATCACTAAAATTCCCTTTCAATATCCTCTATATGACAAGAATAACTGTCGATTTTAAGGTCAATTTTGGTGTACCTACCAGAGGTCTCAGGAGTCAAACAATAGACTGGATGTCAAGGGGAAAATCTTTAGCTGCCATATTTCCTGGAAAACTTACGCTATGAATAAACCATGAAGGATAACTCTCAATGATAATGAAACGGAAAAAAATCAACGAATTCCTTAACAGATGTGTTTCTATTGGTGATTTAAACACTGTATATTTTATAATAAAGTGGCACACGAAACATCCACTTAATTCGATGAAATAGCGAAGCAACCGCTGCCTATATATAGTAGATGCGTTTACTTGTAATCGATGAAGGGGTGGACGGTAAACAGAAATTCACTTCCCAGATGGGAATAGATATTCCATAAAAGAGAGTAAAGGTAGAGGTCTACTGCATTTTGCTCACACGCTTAGTGCCTGCTTTCACTGGCTCCCACGAATACTGTGATAGGTGTAGGCTGCGGTGCGCTAGTAAAAATAAGTTCTTAATCTAAGCACACTTCGAAAAAGATACTACTTTTTGACACTAAAGTCGTAAAATAAGGCTATTCTCACCTAAATTGCAGAAAGTCTTTGCTAAGTAAAAGTCAATGTTTGAGGACAAATATTTCGCCAATAGCATTACTGGAAGTAAAGCGCGTGATGCCAACGTATCTTAATCCTATCCTAATATGAACAGAATATAAGGTAAATAGGGTTGTCACAATTTGTGTAATTATCATCTAAAAAAAAAAAAATTCCCAAACCTCTAGAAACCCCATGAACCTCTTTAAAAAAATAACCTTACAAGTAAATCGGCAATTAAGATCCTCACGGAAGAAACGAACAAAGACTCTCTTTTAATGAAGAGGGCCACATCCTTATTTCGATGATATCGCCAACTTCAAGGTTGAAGATAATTGAAAGTAAAAAGAAGAATGAAATTTTGAATAGCAGATAGGTAGATAGAATCAGGTATGCTTGACTGAGGGACTCAGTCTTAACTTAGTTTGACAACCATACGCCCAGTGGGGTTTAGCTTCGCACGAGTTTTTGATTTTTTCGCCAGATTTCTTTGCAACAAGATATTTTCCTTCAACGTAAGAAGATAAGTTAAATGTTTTATGAAATGTAAAAAATACCAAACCCTAATAACATTTTTTTTAATTTATTCAGACAACGCGGGACATTTATCTTTTTAACTACCGTTTTTTTCAGTAACTAAGTCACGGTCAATGTGACTCGTTTTTCTTATTTAATTAACGTTAGATGTTAAGGTAAATAAATAAATAACTGAAACGTTTTTAAGGTTATCCTGAAGTAAAATTATAGCCGACAAGTCAAGGGTTTGAAGTAATCACTTACATCAAGTTAAATTAATTACTATATTTACCTAATTAAAGTAACGAGACGTAAATGAGAATTTTTTTATTTAATAATCTATACTTAATTTAATAAAGCGTTAACACACACTTGTTTGTTGCCTAAGATGTTAGCAGTTACAACATATTTTTGAATAACTCTTTTTTAATAAAAAGCCCTACACTTTAGGCGTCACGCTTTAGGCTCTATGTTTTAAGGCCAATAAACTTAGGTAAATATTTTGGATAAAAACCCTAATGGGGGAAAGAGACCATTAAGGAGGCATGGTTGTAACCATGTCATATCATTTTGACATTTGTAATTGATAATTTAACTAATGTAAACAATAAAATAAAATTTTCACAATTTCATGCGAATGAAGTTGCACGGGAACAGCTAGTAAGTCATACTTATGTTTTATTCATTTTAACCTTACCTTTTTATATACATAATTAAAAAAAATATCTATATAATTAGTATAAATATCCTGGCTCGAAGGACCATAAACTCAAATTGTAATAAAAAATCACTTTTTAATGTATGGAAAGATATTAGTTCTATATTTGTCCTCAATTTAGCATTTTTTTTCCATAATCAAGCTATTTCTATAAAATAATTTTTCCACAGCGTGTTTTTTTTTTAAAGAAACTGGTCGCCTCATTGAAGACAAATCAGTCTATTTAACAGTCTGTAATATTTCAATAAACATTGCGTGTTTTAATAATTATTTAACAGCGCAAAGATAAAATCTCGGTACAGCACCGGTGGGCGGCAGATTTGAACATTGGCTGCATAAAACTGGCCTATACCTATTCACATCGAGTAATCAGAATTTCATATTATTTTATTGTAATTTTTATGTGCAAAAGCGTCAATAATGTTATTAACAACCTGTGTTTTCATTACGAAACATCTGTACAAAATCATATTGGCATCTTTTTCACTCCCTTTGTAATAATAGAGACGACAATCTCTAAACACTGACGGTTTAAAAAAAAATGTATCATCTATACTAAAATTATGAAGAGGAAAGATTTGGATTTTTGTATGTATTGACATAATTCAAAAACTGGCCGATTTCGATCATTCTGTCACCATTAGAAAGGTAATTTGTCTGTGAACAACATAGGCTATATTTTTTAATTTCACGCGGACAAAGCCGCGAGCGAAAGTCGGTATGGATGTTTGTTACTGATCTACAGAACGGGTTAACGGATCTCAATTGGCACAGATGTTGAACATAGTTTGAAAACACGATATCACGATTCAATATTAAACCAATAAAATTCAAGAGTGAATAAAATTAGATTTCTTGCTTTTGAAATTACTAGATAACGGTTATTGTTATGATTCTAACGAATTTCCAAACATTTTAATTTTCGTAAATGTCATTCTTGACACCAACTTGACACTTTAGTGACATTCAGGTTTAAACGTTTCCATTGTAAAAACGAAAAACACATAAAACCTCTGTGCGAATATGTTTTTGCACTTGTAACCCTATTAACTATAACTATAACTTTTACGATAACCAGCGATTCGATGCAACTCACCCTAAAATCAATAATTTTATTTAACAAGCGGAGATACAACTATGTAGTATATGTAAGAATTTAAAAATATTTGCATTCTAAATGTACAATTGAATGTCGTTAGCATCGCTAAATATAGTCGCCTCCCACGCTTCTGCTGCATTAATTGCTCACAATAATTATTTTTAACTTCAAGTATGTGTTATTTGATACATCTTGTTAATGAGATAAAGTATCAAGAACATGTAATCCTACTATAACGTTTAATGTAAACAAGAAAGGATCTAGAAGTGTTTTGCCTAAATCAGTAGTTTTAACTTTCAATTAAGCTTTAAAGGACTTTTTAAAAAACTCCAAAAATTTAAAAATGTTACCCAAATCTTTAGCAAAATAATTAGTATTCTACAAAACAGATGTTTTAAAATACCTTGCCCTTACAAGTCTGCAAAGATGCTCAGATTATCTCAGCAAATATTTACCGTTCACTTACGTAGCTTCCTATCGTTTTATCTTTGTCAAACATCTTTGAGATTATGGTAAAATTGTGCACACATCTCAAGGGTAAATTCTGTTAATTTGGGATTTAGATAACTACTGCGAACATTTTCAATATTTATTTTATCTAAATGTACTAATTATCATTCTCTGCTGCAATGCTGTAAAAAGATCCAACAATCTCTTTAGAAAAAATACGACGCCTAGTCTTTCAACTTGCAATATTATTGATAACAAATTTTGTCTATTATTATTTGGCAGGCGCCGTTTTACACGTTGGGTGTAGTTACCGTTTTTGTTAACCTTGAGGAATTGATTTCAGATGTATGGTCGCTATCAACGCGACCTCAGCGAAGCGGCCAGAGAAGAAGCTAGAAGACTAAGAAGATTAAGGAAAAGAAGAAGAAAAGACGATAAGTTGCGGCAGAAGGAGCTAGAAGCGACTGGGAAACACAGGCCAAGGGGAAAAGTGTTTAAAGTATTAGGTAAATATCTTGCTGAACTTTTATATAATATTATATTTATGTTTATTTTTTTATGTTGTTTTTACGCTACATAAAATTTAGTAACGTGAAGTTGTTGTTTATATAATACTTTTGCAATAGCTAATATAAGTCGTAAACAACGCGATGTTTCTTGAATTATTTCAAGAAACATCGCGTTAAAAATCAATAATATGAAGTTAAAAATCAATAATATGAAGTGCGTTCCAGGTTACATATGGAGGCACACGTTTGCACGGCTCGGCGAGGACTGGGTCTTCCTGGCGTTGCTGGGCATCATCATGGCAGTCCTCAACTTCGCTATGGACAGGGGCATTGCGGTCTGCAATAATGGTCAGTAAATGAAGATATTAAATAATCCTTAAATAAGACTCGAGGGAATAGAGAACTAAATGACACACGTCAAAATCAAGTTACAATGGAATTTTCATACAAAACCTCCATACAAACACGCAAAAAACATTCGGATTAGTCTGGTAACTAATAGTTATTGTTTACTTACTTTTTATGTTTTATTTTTTCATGCTGCTTTGCTTGCTAAGAGGTAATGTATTTTTAACCTACTATAAGATCTGAAAACCGTAACCCCTTAGAGCGGGCACACCTTTGACTGAACTATCGCATAACTGTTGTGCGATTGTCGATTGTTTCGCAGCGTTCAACTGTTTAGTTGCAAAACTAAAATTCGAGTAGTATAACCTCCATATAAGCTCATAGGAATCAAAGTGCGACAAAACAGTTGTGCGATAGTTTAGTTTTATACAGTGCTTACACATTTTGTTACAAGTTGTGTTTATATTTACAGCTCGTATGTGGATGTACAGCGAACTAGCGACATCTACCTTCAGCCAGTACGTGGCGTGGGTGTCTCTGCCAGTTTGCCTCATATTATTTGCAGCTGGCTTCGTGCATATCGTTGCAGCACAGAGCATAGGTCGGTGGATAAGTTATATACTGACTTCTATGAATGGACACACATTACTAGCTTTCGCCCGTAACTCCGCGTGGAATTAAAACTAAAATAAGTAGCCTATGTGTTCTTTCAGATTATCTACGTCTATGCCAAATTTCATCGAGATCCGTTAAGTCTTTTGGTTACAAACTCTTACAAACAACCATCCAATCTAAACTTTTGCATTTATAATACATTTGATATTAGTAAGAAGCAAGATAAATAATTAACTGACAATAACATCAGGCGTATAATAGAAAGAAACAATATCTATCTTTTTCAAGCTTAAGTATAAGTTTTTGGCACGTTCTGTTTTTTTTTTTAGGATCCGGTATCCCGGAGATGAAGACCATACTCCGAGGAGTTCATCTCAAAGAGTACTTGACCTTCAGAGCTCTCATCTCCAAGGTGATAGGTCTCACAGCCACTCTTGGATCCGGTCTACCGCTGGGTAAAGAGGTGAGTTTTTTTCTTTCGTTTAAAATTGTTTTTAAATTAACAAAAATGTATCGACGAGGATGGGATTCGAACCCACGCGTGCAGAGCACATTGGATTAGCAGTCCAACGCCTTAACCACTCGGCCACCTCGTCTTCTGCAGACTGTACCAAACTTGAATACTGTTTGAATTTATTCATTCAGAACAGACGGCTATAAATTATTCCGTTTTATGCAAATAACTTTTATTGGAATACATTTACTTTAATCAAACATGCAATATTCTAATGAAATGTCTGCTCTAATGTGCTGTTACTCGCGATTTCGTCTACGTAGAATTTAAAAAAAAAAGTTGTATAAAACATAGCCTATGTTACTCAACGATAACGTAGTTTTTTATTGGTGAAATATTTTTTGAAATTAGCCGAGTAGTTTTTGAGTTGTTTCAATATGCACAAAAATCAAAAAAAAAATAAAAATCTTTCCTCTTAATAATATTAGTAAAGATTATAGTTTGAAATATTATAAATAGTGTACACGTGGGAAAAACATTAATTTACTTATTCTCATTTAAATTGATTATTTAAAAAAAATATTTGCTTGAATTCTATCTCCTCAATTACGCCAGTTACATTAAGCTAGTACTCCAGTAATTTACTGGAATAATGTAACCCAGGTATTATCTCCAGGGTCCGTCAGTACACATTGCGTCAATGGTGGCAACATTACTGTCAAAATTGGTGACAAAATTTCAAGGTATCTATAGCAATGAATCTCGGACCTCGGACATGCTAGCTGCGGCCTGCGCTGTCGGTGTTGCCTCATGCTTTGCTGCACCAGTTGGAGGTAACCTATTATAATACTAGAATACTAGAATTTACTAGAAAAGTAATTAGCCTATGTCTTCTTCCAGATTATATTCTACATCTATGCCTTTCATCGATATCCGTTCAGTAGTTTTGGTTACAAACTCTAACAAACATCCATCTAAACTTATAAAATGTTACTTTATTGTTTACATGTGTCAAACAATCAATAGCAAATGTCAAAATACCAATTACCTTACTATGGCAATTTTGCTTTCTTGATGTTGGCAGCAACTTATGGTCTCTTTCCCACATTAGGGTTTTTATCCAAAATATTAACCCCTAAGTTTAATGGCGTGAAAATATATAGCCTAAAGCGTGACATATGTGTAGGGCTTTTTAATAAAAAAAGAATTATTTATAAACATGCTGTAATTGCTGACATTTTGGGCAATAAAGAAGTGTGTGTTTACGCTTTATTATAATAAGTATAGATCGATAGGTAACTAGCTGTTCCTAGCTATTACAAAAAAAATATTTTATTGTTTATATTCTATTCGATATTCAAATGCTTAATAATAACAATTACCGTTACCATGGCAATTTTCATTCTTTGCTGTTATTGGTTTATAGTTTTTGTCCCTTACTCGCACGACAATTTTTTTTATTTTATTCACACCCTAAATTAAATACCGTAAAAATTTATAGCCTATAGCGTAATGTAAGTATTTAAAAATATGCTGTGATTGCTGACATCCTATAAAGAAGCTTTGTTATGATAGCATATATTGCCGTCTCTTTCTAATGTATAGAGATTGAAAGAGATGACTATATGTTTCCAGGTGTGCTCTTCTCGATAGAAGTAACGACAACATATTTCGCGGTTCGGAATTATTGGCGTGGATTCTTCGCCGCGTGTTGCAGTGCTATTGTAAGTTATATACAAAACTAGCTTTCGCCCGCGACTCCGTTCGCGTGGAATTTAATGTGTTTTTTTTCTATGTGTTCTTTCAGACTATTCTCTATATCTATGTCAATTTCGTCAAGAGCCGTTTTGCAGTTTAGGCTACAAACTCTTACAAACATCCATCCATCTAAACTTTCGAATTTATAATATTAGGAAGATAACAATATTTAGGGCCTGTCCCACAAATTGTAAATTGTCTGAAACAATCGAATGTGTAAAATATGTGATGGAAGTAACGGATTTTAGTACTCTATCTAACAGTGACGTCATTCGTAAGCTATCTGAGCCTCTATCAGCCAGTTTCCACTGGCCCTTAGTATTAAAATTTATTATTTCTTATATGGTTTAATGGAAAAGTCCTAAAATCAATTTATTCATTCATTCATATTCCAATTATCTTAGAACTATCTATTGCTCGTGACATCGTCAAAATAAAAAAAAAAAAACATAAAAATAAAAAGCAAAGCCTATGTTACTCACTGATAACGTAGCTTTTTAATGGTGAAATATTTTTTTAAATCAGTCTCGTAGTTTTTGAGTTATTTCAATACATACAAAAATACAAATTTTTCCTCTTTATAACATTATGTTAGCTTTTTAACTATTTTGATGTATTCTGTACTCTTGAAGGTTATTTAGTCTGTGCTATAAATCAATGTCATTGGTCATAGTTTGAAATAACGATATAACTTTGTAATGGTGATCTAAAGCGTTTTTTAAAATATTTATGTCATGGTTTTAAAATGTAATTGTGCTTGTTATGTTAATAATCGGAGAGTAGTCGGATGTCAAAAATAAGGGTGTTGCATTAGCTCAACGACACGACGGCAATGTTGGTAAGGTTATTTTGTGCAAATTGGAAGAAAACATAAGAGGTAATGAAGACTATATTTATTAAGTCATAACATGGCTGTGACGCCCATAATTAGTATTCGAAATGTAATTGATTGTCCGATTTTTGTACTTCCTGCAGATGTTCCGGCTGCTGTCGGTGTGGTCGGGCGCGCTGCCGACGGTGAAGCCGCTGTTCCCCACCAACCTGCCCCAGGACTTCCCCTTCGACCCTCAGGAGTTCGCCGTCTTCGTCTTATTGGGGTAAGCAGAACAAGAAATTAGAAAATTTAAATTTCGCAGAATTATATCATACTAATATAAATACGAAAGTTTAGATGGATGTTTGTTAGTTTGTAGCCTAAAGTACTGAACGGATTTCGATGAAATTTGGTACAGATGTAGAGGATAGTCTGGAAGAATATATATATATGAACTTTATAAATAATGTTTTCAAAATAACTTATTATAAATCGACTAGCTTTGTCCCTCGACTCCGTCTGCGGGAAATTAAAAAAACAGTTCATCTTCTATGACAATCATCGAGATCCGTTCAGCAGTTTAGGTAAACTCTAACAAACATCCATCTAAATATTCGTACTGACTAATATTATAAATAATTTTTAATGGAATGGATGGATGTTACAAGTAGCATAAATTACAGAACACATCGCAATGAAGTTAAGTAAATATGTAGAGCATAGTCTGGAAGAACACATATTTACTTTTTTTTGAATTCCACGCGGACGGAGTAAGATGTTTCCAGGGCCATGTATGTATGGATGTTGCAGCATCGTGAGCGGGCTGCTGTCGGCGCTGTGGGTGTTCCTGCACCGCCAGTACGTGCTCTTCATGAGGAACACCAAGACCCTCAGCAACTTCCTGCAGAAGAAGTACGTTGCACAGATTACTTAAACTGGTGACTTAAAAATTTCGGTTTTGGGAAAGTTTTGGTCAAAATTTTGCATAATTTATAGCTTTCTGGAATTTTTATACGTTCATGAGTCAATTTTAATAAAAAAATTGTTATTTTTCTTCCGTCTATTAAGAACCCCTGTACATGCAAAAAACACACTAAACTTCAATACATAATCGTAAATGAGTTTATTATCTTTTTAATTTTTTGTCTCTGTCTGTCTTGCTATATAAATAACCTAAAACTAGCTAGACAGAGACAAAATAATTTAAAAAGTGTTACAGTAGAACTTCGATAAATTAAAGTCCAAGGGAAACACAAAATATTTTAAGTTATCAAGGGTCTATGTTGTAGAGGTTTTAGGCTCTGATGGGAAGGGAACATATTATTTTGAAGTTATAAAGATTTTTAAGTTATCAAGGTTCTACTGTTTATTGTATTTCGACCTAAACGGAGATGTACTCCAAAATTTCGACTATTTCCGTTAAAAACCAGTTTCTTCGAAAACCAACTTAAAATTAAACACGTAATTAAGTTATTTCTGAAGTGTACAAGTGTAGGAATACGAAGTATCTGGTATGTGCAGCCGCTTCATCTACCCCGGCGTGATGACGCTGGCGGTGATGTCGGTGCTGTTCCCGCCCGGCATCGGCAGGTTCATGGCCGCCGACCTCGGCAACCAGGAACAGGTACGTAAACACGACTAACTCCGAATAGTCCCGAATAGCTCCGAATAGTCCCGAATAGTCCCGAATAGCTCCGAATAGTCCCGAATAGCTCTGAATAGTCCCGAATAGCTCCGAATAGTCCCGAATAGTCCCGAATAGCTCCGAATAGACCTGAATAGCCTCGAATAGCCCCAAATAGCTCCTATTAGCTCCGAATAGACCCGAATAGTCCCGAATAGCTACGAATAGTCCCAAATAGCCCCGAATAGTCTCGAAAGATCCGGAAATAGTACTGCAATATCGAGTAATTCGCACTATATTAACAGACGTTTAAGAAATGTAGATTAGGCCTAGTGAATAACATTTTTCACCGGTGGTTTCTCTGAAAGGTACTATGTCGTCAAATTTAGTGCCACCTCATGTCTTGTATTGGACATGTTATAAAACAATTCCAAAATTATAATAAGCTCCATCTTTTGTTATGAAATAAACTAGCTGTTGCTCGCGACTTTGTCCACTTGGAATTAAAAAACAGTAGGAAAAGCCTATGTTACTAGTAACATAGCTTTTTAATAGTAAAAGAAATTTTGAAATCGGCCCAGTAGGCTTTGGATTACTTCAAGAAAATATCGATAGACATAAAGCAGTAAGCTTTGACTCCCTAAGTAGACTTCGTAATGCTGAAGTTAGCTGGTGATGGTATTCTGCAGGTGCTGTCGATGATGGCCAACTTCACGTGGACCGACGAGCTGTCTGCGGAGCAGGCGGCTGTGGTCTCCCACTGGCAGACCCCGGAGGTGGACATCTTCGGGTGTCTCTGTATATATTTTGCTTCCATTGTAAGTAAACATGTTGTATAGACTGAGTTGGCACGTCGGGTACTACAGTAGTCTTATAACTGACGTGCCAACTCACGAGACACTTATTTTAACTATCTTTTGCCCACGATTTCGTCTGCTCGGAATTAAAATATAGCCGATGTTCTTCAGTGATTGTATAGGTTTGTAATAGTTAAATAATTTTTGTAATCGGTTAAGTAGTTTTTATGTTTATATGTTCCAAATAATTCATCATCTCCTTGCCTTATCCTACTCCTGTAGGGTCGACGCACCGGGTTTCGTCCTCCAAAGTACACTATCATCCGTCATCTCAGTCATCACTCCCTTCTTGATCATGTCACCTTTCACGCAATCCATCCATCTCTTTCTAGGTCTACCTCTACCGGTGTACCTCCACATTCATAACTAACATCCTCCTTGTTACATGCGATTCATACCTTCTCATAACATGCCCCCACTCTAATCTTTTACTCCTTATTTTCTCAACCACTGGGGCTACTCTCAAACTTGGTATGTTCCAAATAATTGCATAAAATATATTTATAATACCAAAGGTTTTATTTCAAAGTAAAACGCACATTTTTATTTAAAACTTCTCTGAGATATCTAACTTATTGACTAAATAAGTAGCAATTTTACTATTTACACAGCTGATTGATTCACTTGTAACTAAATATTGATAAGTACCAATATTTTACGATACAATAGTAAAAGGTGACAGCTCGTATAATAAGTGTTTTAACGATAAATCTAGGAAAACACTCAAATGATCTTCAAACTAATTTATACCTTATTCCTTACCGTTAAAGTTGAATTTCGAATTTTTTTTTTAATCTGATCAGATTCGTTAATCTTCAACTAACAGAGGAAAGGATATTTCCTCTTCCAATGCATTTAAAATTCCCCTTCAATATTGTGATTCCAGTTCTTCCTGAGCATGGTGTCGTGCACGTTGCCCGTCCCGGCGGGCATCTTCGTGCCCGCCTTCAAGATGGGCGCGGCGCTCGGCCGACTGACGGGCGAAATCATGCACTACTTCTGCCCGCTCGGCGTCGCCTACGGAGGGCACATACAGAAAATATTGCCCGGTCTGTATTAAAATATAACGTAAAAGTTTTTTTTAGCACTAGCTTTCGCCCGCTACTCCGTTCGAGTGAAATAAAATACAACAAATGTAGCCTATGTGTTCCAGACTATCCTCTACATCTGTACCAAATTTTATTAAAATCCGTTCAGTCATTTAGGCTACAAACTCTAACAAACATCCATCTAAACTTTCGCATTTATAATATTAATAAGATTATGATATTAATCGATTTTTTTAAAACACTAGATCTAATCTAAATCTTGATTTTTCATATAGAATCAAATGGGGGCAATTGAATGGCAAAAACACCAAGGTGGTTTGTTTGGTTATTTAGGGTAATCACCCCCTTTTTAGACGCTAAAATAGTAATAAAAAGTGTTATTTCAGGTGGGTACGCGATGGTGGGCGCGGCCGCGTTCACCGGCGCGGTCACACACACCGTCTCCACCATCGTCATCGTCAGCGAGATGACCGGACAGGTTCGCGGCGCTTACATAACTTCTATACTATTATAATAAACCGTAAACACTTCTTTGTTGCCTAACATGTCAGCAATTACACCATATTTTTGAATAATTCTTCGTTTAATAAAAAGCCCAACACTTACGTCACGCTTTAGGCTATATATTTTAACGCAATTAAACTTAGGGGGTAAATATTTTGGATAAAACTCTAATAGGAAAGAGACCATAAGTTGCTGGCAACATCAAGGAAGCAAGATTGTCAAGGTTTGTCATGTCATTTTGACATTTGCTATTGATAATTTAACATATGTAAACAAAATAATACAATTTACATAATTTCATGCGGGTGTAATCGCATGGGAACAGCTAGTAACATTTTAAAGACTGGCTGTTGGTCGCGACTTCGCCCGCATGAAATTAAAAAAAATAGTAAAAATGCAGCCTATGTTACTCAGTAATAATATTTATTTAACATTTGGAAAACTCATAGCCTAGATTAACCTAGGTAACTAAAATAGATAACTATGGGCCAATAAAAAGTTTTCACTTGTAACAGTCTATATTTTTTAAGAGTGTTAAAATCTTTGAAATCTGCCCAGTAGTTTTTACGCGAATCGAATACATACGATACAAATCTTTTTTTCTTTATATTAGTATAGATTTAAATTATTTATAATGATTTTATACACAGGTGACGCACATCCTGCCCATGATGGCGGCAGTGCTGGCGGCCAACGCCACCGCCTCGCTGCTGCAGCCCTCCTGCTTCGACAGCATCATACTCATCAAGAAGCTGCCCTACCTGCCCGACCTGCTCTCCTCCGCCAGCCGTGAGGATCATTCACTAATTCGCACAATCGTAAAAAAAACCATTAACTGTTAAGAAAATCAGACAACACTAGAACATTAGCATAGACGTCCCTTCCCTATCTGACAGCTGTCAAATTTAGACGTAGGCCGCCATTTTGGCGGAATCAAAAACCTAAGTCTAATTTAGTTATATTCTTACAGTTATTTTATTGTCCTTGTCAAAACATACCCTCATAATTCAATCGTAAGCAAAATTTACTCATTTGGTGGTAGACATTTTATAAATGTCCAAATCGTAATAAAAATCGTTCATTCACTCAATCATAATCTCATTCGTTCACTCATTTGATTGTAATTTAAAATTTTAGTCATCATTCACTGCTAAATATAGGCCAAATTACAAATATAAAAATTGTAACAATTCATTCACTATCATAACCTATTTCGTTCATTCATTCAATCTAAACACTTTTAAAAATACAATTCATTAACTCAATCGTAAACAAATCATTACACTTATTCAATATTTAATACTTTCGTAATAATTTCGATTAAATTCGCTGGTTATTCGAATAAAAACCTTTATTTACATGATTACGTAATACAAAATGATTTATAGCCGTCTGTTCTGAATGAATAAATTCAAACAGTATGTAATTTTGGTACAATCTGCAGAAGACGAGGTGGCCGAGTGGTTAAGGCGTTGGACTGCTAATCCAATGTGCTCTGCACGCGTGGGTTCGAATCCCATCCTCGTCGATACATTTTTGTTTAAAACTTATTTCAAAACTTCAAATTGTAACAAAAACTTTATTTCGATATAAATAAAAAAAATCCTAAAAATAATGTCTATGCAAACCGAAATTATAATTTTTGAAACACTAGAAATTTTACTTAGAATTCATTTTTATTATTAATATAAGGCGGAATATTGAAACGACATTGAAATATGTAAAAGCATCTTAAAATGTCACACTTAATAATTTTTGATTTCCGTTAGGTTTTTAACGGCGTTTACGTTCGTTTCAGTAATGGGCCTTTAGAATGTATTTTTTCTTATTTACGTAAGTGTATGTGCAGGTATGTACGACATCTGCGTGGAGGACTTCATGGTGCGCGACGTCAAGTACATCTGGAACCGCATGACCTTCCAGCAGCTCAAAGACATACTCAAGGAAAATAAGGTATTCAATAATTATCAAATGCATTTAATGCTTAGTTCATACTCGGACAATACAGTTGGACAGTTGACTCACTGGCGCCTGTCACTGTCAACAATGCACCATTGATTGCCAATCCAGTTAATAAATGCTACTGACAAACAAAATTAGCTTAATGTGAACCGTTCATAACTGTTCAATTATTTAATTTTTAAGTTAAAAAGTAGTAAAAATAAGGCGTAAAGACGGCTGTTAATCATACTAAGTGATACAAATCCAATAACAAATAAATTGTGTTAATTGATTAATAATATAATTAATTAATGGAATAATTAGTTAAATTAATTAATCAATTAATTAATTATTTAGATTATTATTTTTGTCAACTAGTCAAATTATTCGTATTCCAGACAATCAAGAGTTTCCCCCTGGTGGACAGCCCGACTTCCATGGTGCTGCTGGGGTCCATCCACCGCTGGGAGCTGGTGAAGGTGATAGAGAAGGCGGTGGGGCGCGAGCGGCGGCTGCAGGTGGCCGCGCTGTGGCACCGCGAGGCGGAGCTGCGCAGGAGGCACGAGGAGGCCAAGAAGGTCCGCCGCCCCTCCCGCTTTGAGGTCAGGCACTGCTCCACGCCCCGCCCCCTGCTTAATTAAGCATTCTGGTTAATTAAAACTTAATTATCAGGTGACGCCGGCACCAGATATGCTGCAGGTGCCGGGCACGGGGATGACCCGCGGCACCTCGCTCACTACCAATGACCAGGGTGGATTGATACCTGGTGAGCGTCTGTTCCTATTAATAATTAATTATGTCTACGTCAAAAATAAAAAAGAGGAAAGAATACTTAGATAAGTAAGGAAAAAGTTTATTCAAATACAATGAATATATTATGCATTTCTTGATCGATTTGAGTATGCCAGTCAAGTTTTTGACGTTACTGATCAACTGGAAAAATGTAAACCGCTTGTTATGGTAATGGGATGTATTCCAGCGCCCGGGCAGCTGTTCCGACCGAAGTCGATCCTGAAGAAGACGAACTCGTTCAGTGTGAGCCGCGGGCTGGTGGGGGGGGGCCACACGCCGCTCTCGCCGCAGCCCTCCGTCTACACCACCGTCACCGGCGCAGAGACCAGGTCTGTACAATACTATAAACTATAAAACATCAAATAATACTGTAAGAATCAAATATCCATTCAAATTCAAGACTCGTTAAATACTTGAATGAGAAAAATTTGAAAAACACTCACACTTATTTTTTTTATTAACCAACTTTAAAAAAGGGGAGGTTGTCAATTACATCGATGTTTTAATGCAAGTAAATCGATTACGCTACCATTTATGATCCATTTTGCGATATTATTTTTTTAATCTGCTGCGAAATGCCAACTTTTTCAGAATTTAAAAACTATCCGTTAGTTTTTGAGTTTTTAAAATCATACCAGAAGCTATAAACTTGTGTCTTAGTCGTCTTTCGTTTTATATTAAAATATTAGATTATTGATACACAAATTTATTTGAGTAACTACTGTATTTGTGCAGGATCCGTGCAGCATTCGAGGCCATCTTCAAGCGGTCGACGCTGCTGGCGGACGTGGAGGGCGGGCTGCCCGACCAGCTCGGCCCCGCCCTGCCGCGCAGCCCCTCCATCAACAAGAAAGTGCAACTGGTAACTATATCTATCATCATCATCAGCTCACTATACGTCCCCACCGAGGGGCTCGGAGCCTACCCTAAGTAAGGGTGACTAGGTCATAGTCAACCACGCTGGCCAAGTCGGGTTGGTTGACTTCACACATCTGTGAATTTCTTCGCCGATATGTGCAGGTATCACGATGTTTTCCTTCACCGTAAGAACGTCGGGTAAATTGTGTACATTTGAAAATTCGAAAACTCGAAAACCACATTGGTACAGCGGGATTCGAACCCAAGACCTGTAGATTACAAGTCAAGTGTTTAAACCACTGAGCCACCGACGCTCTACATTATACTAATATTATAAAGATGAAAGATTTCTATTTTTCTATATATACGATTCACGCAAAAACTACTGAGCTGATTTCAAATTTGAATTGAATTTGATTTGAATTCAACATTTTTCCAGCCCCGTGAACGTGTATGCGATATGTCGCCTGAAGACCAAAAAGCATGGGAGAGACTGGAGATGGCCAAGGAAATAGACTTCGACCGAATGTTGCAGATCGCCAGGAAGAGGGACATGGTATGCCGTCTACTTGAAACTTCATCATCACCAGCCCATATGTCCCCACTGAGGGGCTCGGAGCCTACCCTAAGGGTGACTAGGCTAAATACACTGCGGGTTGACTTCACACATATCTTTGAATTTCATCGCTGATAGAAACATCAAGTATTTCGGATAAATTATCTACATATGAGATTCGAAACCCAAAAACCTGTAGATTAAAAGTCAAGTGTCCAAACCCCCGAGACACCGACGCTCTTAGCTCTAGCTTAAACCTTATTTCCACTAAAATAAACATGCAACTAAAGTTTATTTTTATTCAGCATCCAGATGACCCGGAGTACGAGGATGAACATCTATACATCTGTCACATCGACCCTGCGCCCTTCCAGCTTGTAGAGAGAACCTCATTACTCAAGGTATTACCCTATTTTATAGGTCTTTGTAAAATGGTCGAGATCAAATTGTTCTAATGTCACAGATTTTTTTAAATTAATGTGTTTTCTTAAATAAATACACTTTAAGATCTTACTTATTAATTGTATTGTCTATATATTAGTGAAATAAGCGTTATTGTTTACTTTTTTAAATTTATTCCAGGTCCACTCGCTGTTTTCAACCCTGGGGGTGAGTCGTGCGTACGTCACTGCTATAGGACGACTCATAGGTGTCGTCTCATTGAAAGAGGTATGTGTTTAAGTAAATTAATTCATTTTTATTACTTTAAAAACACACATATTGTTTACATTGTTGGAACATGTTAAATAAAATAAATCATTGTGTTGGAATGTGCCGTTCTTCTTATAAACATTAAATAATTAACCATAATTAATATATTAATACTGACTACTTAAATATTATTAATTGAAAAAGTATTGTATACTCAATTTTTGTAGCAACAATCGCCTTGGTTTCTTAATTTGGTTAATCTGTGTTAGTATACTCTCCCTTTTTCAGTACATCTTATTTAATTTTACTAATAAATATGACTCTTTAGTTACAGTTGTCTGTTACGGTAGAAATAATTTGATTTAAATTGATTACAAAAAAAAATAATCTATTAATTATAAGAATAATATTAATTAATAACAAGAAAATTAAACTTAAACATTATTAATTAATTGGATAAATGTAATTAATTACAGTTGCGCAAAGCTATAGAGGATGTGAACTCGGGCGTGCTGAGCGTGAGCAGCCGGCCCTCGCCGCCCAGCACGCCGCCGCCGCCGCTCATCAAGGTGCACAGCGCGCAGCCCGCGCCGCACTCCGACTGCGAGACTGCGCCGCTCACCACCGCCACATAGACATACCGCACGCCGTGCCGCATGCCACACTGCATGCCACACCACATGCCACACGCATATGGTGAGTACATAGTCATTCAGTTATTAGAACACGTGTACCCTATGTAGCCACATGCCACACAACATGCTACATGCCACACCACATGCCACACGCATATTGTGAGTACATAGTCATTCAATTATTATATCACGTGTACCCTATGTAGCCACATGCCACACAACATGCTACATGCCACACGCATATAGTGACTTCATCATCATTCACTTATAAGAACATGTGTACCCTATGGAACCATGCCGCACGCTATGCCACATACCACATGCCATGCCACAGGCATATGGTAATTTCATCAGTTATAAAAGTCTCTACTGAGAGTTTCGGAAAGTTAAGTATAGACTTAACTAACTACATGCACTTTTAAACCAAATTTTACTTACACTAGACAACGAGGTTTTTCACTGGATATGAGATTTTTTAGAAATTACCGTTCAGTGCATTCATTTATTTTAAATTTTTATATATGTGTAGTTACGTTTACTTTCATAAGAATGAATGTACATATGAAAATCGAATGTTATTGGTACAATAATTTGAACCTAGGTCCTGTTGAATAGAAGTCAAGAGCTAAACCTCAAAACTACCGACGGTATTAAGACGGTAGAAAGAAGAGAAGTAGAATACAGAGTAATTACACCATTTACAGAATAATATGCTTGTTTCAGATTTCGGAAATATTGCCGATAGTTCAATATGACCATCTCTGGTGCTTTATTATATCTTAGTCACAAATACTTTGTATGTGATCGCTTTTGTAACATATTATTTATTTATACACCTTAAGTTAAGTTTACCTTGTAAGTTAAATGTCAGCAGCTTATATAAAAAAGCCACTTCAATCGGAATAAGATTTTTTTTTAAAATAAATGTAATTTTTAGTACAATTTGTACTGATAATAAAATGAAACGTTAGTCAGAAACTTGAGATATTTACAATTCTTTTATGCATTTACAATTTTTCCATTTAAGAGATTTTTCTTCTTATTTATGTAAGATATTTGATGAAAAAATAATTATATTTTGGATATCTTGGACCAATTTATGAAAAAAGCCTGTATTTGATACCAAAATTCGCCACACTCAAGGCTTGTGATCAACAAAATCATTCCAAATTAATTTTATATAGTTTTATTTATATTTAAGTTAAAGTTTATTTAGCTAAGAATACTTCCTCTGTGCCATTGTAAGGCTAACTTTACAGTTATGGGATTCACTTAATGCATTTCGTTTAAGCTCAAAATGGTACAACTTCCGTCCTAATACAGAAAATATACGAAAATATTAACCAAAATGACAAGACCTCTCAATATTTAATATTAAAAAGATAAAAAGAAGTAAAATACAAATTGATTCCCTTAACTAATTTTACCGAATTGAGCAAAAAATAATGAAATTCAACAAAAAAAGACAGTATTATTCGCATGAAAGAGTCACAATAACTTTTTAATTCTAGTTTTTAGATTCCAAACTGAAATCCCATGCTATTTTAGAACTTAACGTATATACAATACGTAATATTTTAGTTTGTACAATCGGGGAAATTGGCGGTGTTCCAAGTTACAACTTTTTGAACATTTTGAAACGAGACGAGATAAAATGTGTAAGAAAAAAAGTCGGTTAGTGCTTCATGACTAGTTTCTTTTTCTTATCTCTTCGTTTAATTCACTGCTATAATTAGTTATTTGTAAGAGCCGGAGTTTGACTCATTGCAATGAATAAGACTACCTAAAGTGGGACACCGAGGGTTTCCGCGACTGTACATATCTGAGGTTCTTGTTATTCTGTACCTCTGGTCCTCTTTAACTGGTTGTTAACAGTGATAGATTGTGATAGATGTTATACAAATTTTTATAATTAAATCAAATAACCAAAAAAAATGTGATATATTTGGTCCTATTTGTTAAAATTACTAAAAGTAAAGTCTTCGAAATAATAGTAAAAGGTTGTTATGTTTGCGACATAAAACAACGAATATTTTTTTTGTTTTATCGAATAGAATGCTTGTAGATCTATGGAAAATTCTGGATCAGTAATAAAAATTAACTGAAAATAAAAATATGATTCTTAACTTGCTTTTCATATAACAAGATTATTGAAAGAGAAATTAAAGTAAAATAAATATTCTATTTCGCTTTAAATATAATACATTGACAAATATCAAGAAAAAATATGTTTATATAGATTTTTTTATAATTATTTACTTTAAACATAAACAATCGAAGTGGGATTCCTCAAGGTACTAAATCAGGACCCAAACTCGAACCTAAGTTCTGATCCAGGATGTTCTGCTAATATAATGTTAATTATAAGTTTAATTTATATTTAAGACAAGAAAATTGTTGTCATTTGGACGTTAGTTGCATTTTTATTGTGATCTGTTGCTTTTTGGTTAATAAATGATGTGTTGTGCGTTGACTGATGTATTTATTTTAAAATCCTAAACCGAATATTTCCGACTTTTTTTGAAACTAAAATAAATGCAAACACAAGAAAAATAAAGAAAATCAGGCTACTTCACTGTAGAAATAGAAATTATATGGAGATAAAGTTTGGTTGATGTACTGTCTATAAATGTATGCAAAATTAAAGATGTCAAGAATTTAAGGGTTATCTTAGAACTCCACCGATGTGTTTAAATTCCCAAATTCCTTTTTTGCTTAAATTCTCTTCAATATAAAGACTTTCTTTAAATATAGACTCGTCAAAAGAGACTAAATTAAATAAAACGTATTATTTAAAATTCTATAAGTGAATCAAATCGTATTCTCTATGGAGTTTTGGTGTCGTTAAAGGAAAAAATCATAAAAATTTCTCAACCCACATTTATTCTATCACTTAAAACTATAATACTTTATAGAAAAATTCTATTACAGTAACTATATTTATAAAACCACAGGTCCTAACTTAAGTACATAGACCAACTGGGAAATATCAAATGTCGCTTATTATAATTATTCGATGATACACAAACTCTAAAATATACACCAAGTGTATTACAATTGCTTGTAGACTGTCAAATATTCCGATTACGGTTATTTCTGTACAACAAAATAAGAGTTTTATCACAAAAACGGAAAAACCAATCTATCATGAAATATTCTAGATTTCACTTTTATGCGTATCTTATCGTTAATGATTTCTCAAAAACACGCAGGATTTTAATCTTGTGAGATATCTCGTATATCCGTAACCGTAGGTTTCACTCCCATGATACGAACAAAACAATTCTAATGTTATTCATTTTCATTTAAAAATTGACATACGTGTTTACTGGTCTAACGACAGTGGTAAACTACGGTTATAAAATATGTCTGTATTGTAATTAATGGAAACACAACCTTAACAGATCATAGTCACTAACAAAGAGCGTCCTCACAACTTAACTTTACTTAAATAATATATTTAATTAATAATTAAATATGTTGATAATTTATCATACTAATAGTTATGTCAATAACTTACTAATATAGAATTCAGAAATGTTACATAATGAAGGAATTCGACTTCTAAACAATTAAATTGATGTTTCTAACAGCGTTCCGGCAGTGACATTAAATTATTAATTAATGTAATAATGTATTAATTAATAATTGATCGCATAAACTTAATTACGTTGGTCGATTAATTATTCAATAAGATTCAAACCTTCAAAACACCACAAAATTAGTAATTTCTTTTATCTAATATAAAATAAATGCACTCGATCTTAAAGTGAAAATATTTATAAATAAATCACGTTAAGTAATAAAATTAAGTTACAAAATAACACTGGCCTATCTCAGTATCACAATACACTTAAAAATTACAATTCAACTATTTACGATTTAAAGTTACTACCAAGATAAGTAATTTAAGTATTAAATTACTGGAAATTCCTAAAACTTAAGCTTCAAAAATCATTTACTACATTCTTCAATAACAACAATTTGTAGATTAATTATTACCAAAAAAACATTTCACTTTAACTAAAACATTTTGACAAAACACACAATAAGTCTATCACAACAATAAATTTCTAATTTGCTAATAATAAATTAAAATCCATAACACAAAATTCTACAGAAGTCACTGTACTTTATGTCCACTTTGGAAATCCACAGATTCGCACACCCGCGAGTTATCTATCGCACAACTGTGCGCTCGCTTTGCTTCCTAAGCTTATATGGAGGTTACATTCGATTTTTTATGCAACTAAACAATTGGATTGGCGAAACAATCGACAATCGCATAACGGCTGTACATTAGTAAATGCTGTGCCCGCTCTAAATGAATCCATATATCCACATCCATACTACATGCAACCACAGGATTCTACCACCATATTGGGTAACGTCTTTTGCGTGACCGTGTTATTGGAATCCATATATAGCAGTTGGAGAGAGCTGAAGGTAGTCGGTGCACAGCACGGCTTGAACTCCGCTTTCCTCTCGTTGGAGACGGAGTAGAAATATTTCTGCAAATATACATTTAACGTCAGACTTTAAAACTAAATAACCAAACAATTCTCAGTTCAACTATCAAAAAAGCCACGAAAAATAATCGTCAATATACACAAGGAAGAAAATCTCATTGTTTGAAGTGTTTCAAATCTATGCTTTTTCTGGGTTCTAAAAATCATGCTTACAAGATAACAGTCTATCTTTAATGACATAAAAAACCTACCCTAATAATATTATGATGATAGCTATCAGCTTGCGAGACTGCGGATATTGGTGCACAGGAACCCTTGCAGAAGTAAGCGTGGTATCCTGCTGGGCGAATGATCCAGTCGTCCCAACCGAGCTCGCGGAAGCTGACGTAAAGTGGCTCGCGGCAGCACTCGCTAGTTGTTGCCCCGCACTCTAGTGTGCGGCCCCGGCGCCGCTTGCCTGCATACTTCGTATACAACACTAGGAAAGGTCGATGCTTCTCGTGGAAGGAGAGAGGCGCTCGACGTAACTGTGAAAGAGAGTTCAAGTGTTATTTTTTTTAAGGCATCTTTGTCGCACTCAGAGTCCTAGTCTTTTATTAGTTAATAAGAGATGGTGAAAGATGGTGAACCTACCTGGCAAGTCCTACAAGCGACGTGTAGCGTGTGCAAACGTTCCATGCCCTCAAGCCAGACACGCACAGCCCACGCCAGCTCGACCCGCACCCAGCCTTCACCCACATCCGTCTCCTTAATAGCGATTGGCTTCGTCTTCTTGAACTGCTGCTGGCTGTCCCAATGCGCTGCTTCAGAGATCACAAACGTCTGGTTGTATTCATCCAATGGATCGCGCTCCTGGAATATAACAACAACAGTCTTCATTTAAAGCAAACCCCAACTTTCATATAACCTATGTTATCAGTGTTGCTCTGTTCTACTGTTCTACTGAACTTCTCTCTTCTAAAGGTATTGTGCAGACGAGTTACGTAAAGATTAACATCAAGACAAAAGTTTAGATCAATTACCTTGTAAAACCAGAGCTCAACGACAGTCACCTCTTCGGGCTCGACGTCAGGCGGCAGCTCGAACTGTAGGCAGATGAAAGGATATCGGCCTGTTGTCAAACATTCACCTGCAACAAGATAAATAGAATTAATACAAATGAATGACTGTTAATAACCCTTATAGTAACAACAAAAAAAAATAGCCCGTGACCCAGAAGTTTCAGAGTTTTAATGTGGTACAATCTCGTTTGTTCTATATTCACATGACCAATAATTTAACAGAACAATATTTGACCCAAGACTTGAGGCACTGAAGTGGGGAGGCGGAAACACGGCGGCGGCTAGCGTGCTATCTACGCGGCCTTTGGGGGTCACTCCTTGCTCTAATTAGCTGCTTCAGACATAACCTGACTTTATACGTTTATTTAATTACTATTATCAGACGCTACATATTACATATCTTTCGAGAGGTTAGGACCTATTTTAACTTAGGCTGAGTGCGGTTGCAGGAACTATTATTACATCGTCGTCGGTGCCTACACCGATTGTTGTCACGTGAATTTTATTTATTTATATAATATAACGTCTCACGAAAGTTTTAATAAGTTAAGAATGATTACGCTTTGGATTCCTTCGTAGCGGAACTAAAATATCATTCGATCGTGTTAGTGACAAAAATATAGTCCATTCATAAATATCAGGTGTTCCAACTGATGTGATAAGACTTTATCAATTACGTGCAAAGATCGGATGTTACATTTCAGCCTAACAACACACTTTTAATCGTTAACACTATTGTTGTTTAAATTAATTAAATACAGGATTTTCCGCGCTTACATCTACGAGAATTCTCTTATTGATTAGTATGTTCAAGTCTGTACCATCAGAGAGCGCTGATGCGCTGCAAAATAAGAAATAACGGAGAGTTAGCGGGAAAATGCAGATATCTGTCAAACAGTTAACCAAAAATCTTTAGTAGTCTGACTAGTAGAACACTTTTGTCTAACAAGAGAATGAAAGATCTCTTATAAAACAGAACAATAAGTTGTCAAACATGTATTCCAGCAGTGCAAACCCAAAGGAAGTGTGAGAAACACTACAATTTAGTTGTAAACATAATGATGTTGTTAAATAAATGTTTTGTAAGCTGGAGACCGAATTCTTTGACCTCTGCTGTAGATTAGGGTATCGAGATGACCTTTTTTTTCGTGTTTCCCTCTGAGCCGCAGGAGGGAGGGCTGCGCGGGAGGAGCTGCGGGGGAGGTTATCATGCACTCAGGCGCCGCATGATTCACGCGTGATAATACCAGATTTTGGTCCATGACCCATGGGGCAGGGCACTCCGCTCTTTATCTTTACCTTAAGATACGTGTCTGTAACGGCCCAATAGTGAAACGACATTTAAATATTTTACCTCTTAATAAGGCCACACTAAAATTACGAATTGCATTACATATTGTCCTCTATCAGATTGTTAGTGTCGTTTCAGTATTAAGCCTTAAATACAGTCTTATTTATATTGAAATATAAGAAAAATCAACTACGACAACCAGATACTCAAATACTAGGTATAGCTATAAAACTAAATTTAGTACAACCTACAAATATAGCTCAAAAAAGTGATTTTAACAAACACAGGCATAGATAAAGTTTATATACCAAACTAGCTTACGCCCGTGACTGCACCCGCGTGGAGTGAAAACAAAAGTAAGTAGCCTATGTTCTTCCAGACTATCCTCTACATCGTATGCCTTTCATCGAGATCCGTTCAGCCGTTTAGGCTACAAACTAACAAACATCCATCTAAACTTTCGCATTTATAATATTAATAAGATTAAATACCAATCTTAGAGTTAAATAAATCTCGTATTTGTGTTGGCCTATTAGTGTACATGATAAGACGATAGGCGGCCGCCGCAGACCCGGGTTCAGATCAGCGGCACATTTTGATAAATGTCATTCAACGGAGTTCCGTTATAGTTTTAATTACAAGTAATAGAAAGGTCATTACGATAACGATTAGAAAACTACAAATCTTAGAGAATATATAATGTTTTTTAGAGATGTATTTTAAAACAAAGTTTTATGGCTTTAAGATAGCAACAAATTACCAAGCAAGTGGATTGTTAAGAAAAAATAGATATTAATTATTAGACATCACGTCAAGTTAAAGAGGTTAAGTTACAATAAGTTGTCGTAAAACAAAACCATTGAAAATACAAATCTTCTTACTGATATTAGAAATATGAAAGTTGATGGATGTTTGTTAGTTTGTAGCCTAAACGGCTGAACGGATCCTGATGAAATTTAGCATAGATGTAGGATAGTCTGGAAGAACACATAGGATTTTTAATTTTGTTTTTATTTTTTTAATTTCACGTGACAGTCGTGGACTAAATCTATTCTTAAAGTTTGCTTAAAAAAGGCCTTTTATTTCAAATACTACAACTATCGCAGTAATGAGCGCCAATAGCCAATAGGTTTGTGGTACGGACCACAGATCTTGTAATCGTGGGTTAGAATCCCGTCATTCGATTATTGTGAACCATAGCTTGGAATTGTCAAAGAAAATTAGAAAACTGGCTTTCGCCCGCGACTCCGTTCGCGTGGAATTAAAAAATACAAATCCAAGTATCCTATGATCCTATGTGTTCTTCCAGACTATCCTCTACATCTATACCAAATTTCATCGAAATCCGTTCAGCAGTTTAGGCTGCAAATCGTAACAAACATCCATCTAAACTTTCGTATTTATAATATTAGTGTGAATAGTGTGATTAACAAAAATCTACTAATCTTCTAACATTTTATAAAAAAAAATAACTTACGCAGTTTTGACAATGATGAATTCTTATTTAAATAATTGAGTCATTTTGTATGATATTTATTCAAACCTGTCAACAAATCTAAGCACGAGTTGAGAATTAAAATGATAAAACATTTCCGGTATGAAAATAATTATCCTTATCACAGTAATTATTGTTTTTACGTATATCGTTATCATTAAATCAAAATTACATATAAATTAATCCATTTTAAATATGCTGTATACTTTTTACTATGTCAAACTTTTTAGCCGTTTTTTCGACTCAATAAAACACTGTTGTTGGCAATAAACTTTTTTGTGTTTTTATTTTTAATCCTTTTTAAAATAAGAATGTATATTTTTTTATTAATTCCTTTGTAAATAATTGAAGTAGTCTTCGATAAGATGTCACAACGCTAAGCTGAATTGTACATACATTTCTTAATTTGTAAATCATTAAAAGTTGTTTAGTTTTGGTTTACTTCTTATTTATTTTACTCGCGCGTACCTCCCCGTACAAGATCTTCCCTTTCAACCGTGATAGTAACCTATGGCTTATTTTAGAAATCTGAATATCTCTGGTCCAAATATCATCTAAATTCGATCAGTCGTTATTGAGTTAAGTGGTAGCAATATCATAAAGTAGCAAACGAGCCATTGGCCAACTGAATCCACCAAAATGGCGAAGCAAATGCTGCCCATAGACATTCACAATTGCATACATAGAAACTGGATATTTCCCTCTACTATGCGTATCCCCCACAGTCAAGTCCACTTTTCCTTCCATCCTTTCCTCTTAAGAAAAGTGGAAAGGGACTAAAATTAGGCCTTCGGTACCACACTCATCACACTGTACGCAGAATTGCTTCCACTTCACGCCTGTCTTTGCAGTCGCGGTAAAACACCGGGCGTGCCGACCCATTCGTGCGATAAATAGCAGACTCTACCGCTGTTTATCGCTATCGCTTGCGCTACTACCTAAGGCTAGGTTTTTTCTTTAACTAGAATTTTTGTATTCAAATTAATTTTTAGTCGCAATATGTTTAAAATTGGTGTCTGAGGTCAACTCAGATAATATTGTTTAATAATTAAGTCGTTAATTATTATAATCAATGGGAGGTCTCGTGATAAATGTAACATTGTACGGTATCGACATTATTTAAAGAAAAACAATAAAAACTAAAAAAACAAAAGGATAATAATTAATTACGTAATTTACTAATCAATCAAAATTATCTTTTAATTAGTGATAATATAGTGATTTGTAAAAAAAGGCAATTTCAACATTTTTACTATAATAAATCTACACTTAACAGTTTAAGTAAGAATTACACTCAGAGTACGACAGTATAAACGCCATATAACTATATATAAGTCGCCACTAAGGGATTTGGACCTAAAGTCTACGTCTAGGCCATAATCAACCGCTGGCCTACTGTTGGTTGACTTCACACATATCTTTGAATTTCTTCATCGATATGTGCATCACAAATTTTTCCTTTATCGTAAGAACGTCAGGTAAATTGTACATATGAATTTCGAAAATCACCTTGGTACACCCCAAGACCTGTAGATTACAAGTCAAGTTAAACCACTGAGCCACCGACGCTCTAAACAAGGTATAAATATGTGATAATATTATACTTTAAGTGATAACATGATATAGGTCAATCTTATTCGGTGAAATACCGGTGTTATTGCGGGCGGGTTGTAGAGAGATAGATTGCAGCATCACGTATTGTTTCCGCCTCAAGTGACCCTACACGTGTCGTCTATAGACAAACAAACAAACATCCTTGATTGTCTTGTAGTATAGACTTAAGACATATATTTACTATTTTCTATACGTTTTATCTGACAAATACATCTAATAAGAGCGCTTTTTTTTGTGACTGAGTTGGCACTGTTTGCCTTGAAGAGGCATTTACAGATTCACCGGGCTTGAGGTGGCCGAGCGCAGATAGCGCTTAGCCTAAACCTCTTTTATGTGTAACTAGCCTCGAGGGCTCCCTCAGGAGCCTCGGCTCGGGCCGTTACTTCGTTATTGACCGACCTCCCAAACAAGGAGGTACTCAATTCTTCTGTATTTTTTTTTTATTACCAGATTGGGAAACTCTTATTCCAAATTGTGTTGTAGTTATGATAAGATTAGATGATCTTTTATTTTATTTATTTAAATAAGAGCTTCGCCAGCCGATGATGTAGCGAGTCGACTTTCGTTGTCATGGCAATTGAATTTTGCCAGCAAATGAATGTTTCGCGAAATGTAAACAATAACATATATACTTTGGGTGGTGGCTGACACCTGCATATTCAAAAACGTTCTAAATAAATAAATAGAATTTTTATTGCCACAAAAAACTACATAAAACATTTAATACACAAAACATAAACAAAAATAGAGAGAAAAGTGGCAAAAGGTGGCAAGCTCAGCTAATGCAAGGACGGCGCAGACCGTTACTGCGCTGGTTTTATAATTATTTACTTAAATTATATTTATGAGTTAAAAAGCCAAAACATTAGGGTTTATAAAACCTTGTTGGAAAGACACTGCTCATTTTTTTAGTAGTAAATGTGTGTTTTACCGGACTCTATTTAAATAAATGGGTCTATAGTATCATGTGCAGTTTTCCTTGCAATCAAACGTAAGAACTTTGACCCTAACAATAAAATAACTATCTTGCGTTTCTATAATTAAGTAGTAAACATAACATGCGGTGTATTGTTGATATGATTGTTTATAATAATTGACACAAGTCAGTCACGTGGGGTACAAAGTTCATAATTCCTCAACCTCATAGAAAATTAGATAATTAGAAAGTTCAGTCTACTTTTAAGAATCTAGCTAAGCTGTATATGAGAATTTTCAGACACTTATCGTTAATTTATAAAAAAATGCTTAAGTTAATTTGTTACATTTAAGAAAGACTTTCACTGATGTAATGGGGTTGTTTTTTTTATTAAGAAATTGGCCTAAACGTTACGAAAATACTTAAGAAAACTTGTAGAATGGTACAATTTTTAAAAACTTAAAAGAATCATGTTTTCCAATAAGATAATTTGTAGTAACAAATAGTTCTTCATACCTTCTACTGGGAATATGATCTTCTGTTCCGTTCTGCCATAGTAGTCATCAAACTCCGGGGGCTTGTCAGAACCCACGCTGAGGGTCTGGCCCTCCGCCACCGGCATCGGCAGACTGTTCACCGGCACAGCCACAGCTGGTCGCCGACTTAACCGCAACTTCTTCAAAATCTGCTGCTTCACATACTCTATTCTAGCATTGGTCAATTCTTTAACACTTAGTTCCCCATTAACGCAGTTTGCACACGCTCCCATAACCATCAATTCCCAACTTAACATGTTAGCTGCGAACAGAATGAACACAATCACCCGCGGATCCATTGCCGTAGATTTCTTCGGCGCAAACAATTGAAATATGATAATAGATCGAGACACATGCGTGCGTGTTCAGCGGCGGTCAGCACGCGACTGCTGCGAGGTGCACCCTCGTCTGTACATATAGCTGCGTGTCTGCAATAGGGTTGTCGATCACAAATATAAATAGAAACATTTTCTTTAAAACCAGACACGAGGTTTAGGCACTTGATCACAACTAGACTAATGTCTAGAAAATAACTAGTTTGATTACTGGCAATACTCTCTCATGTGAATTTGTAGACTATGCTAACTAAGCCAGGTCTGCAAAGGGCTTCCTGGTACCCTAAGAAGCTAGTAGATTATAAGCCTTCTGAAAATCACCTCTCCGAAATTTGTTTAGATTATTTACAGTATTCCAGATATCAGGAAGTTGGATTTTTTCTATGTTCATTTCATAATTTGTAAAAAAAAATATGAAAATACGCATTTTCAATTATGTTAAATTTTGACAGCCCTGGTTAGTATCTTAGCGTATTCTCGTTCTGCAAGGGGTGTTCCGCGGCCGCTATCTGCCGAGGTCAGATGCTGGACAATGGACCGCGATAGCCCACTGTTTGTGTCCACTCGCAGCTAATAAGCGGTCACTCCCCGACGGAGCTGGTCGTTAATCTCCTATACGACCTTGCTCCCTCTATTAGAGTACGACCATTTTTAGTTTTTTTTTTTAATTTAGAATTCAGTTTTACAGAGCAAATTCGAAATTTGAAATACGAATTCGATAATTTCAAAAAAAGAAAATGGAACGTTAATTTTTTAATTCGATTTATAATCTGAATTCGATTTTCAAAATTCTGAAATTGAAAAAAGTCTGAATTTTAATTCCGTTTTTACACGTTTTTGTATTAATAAGACAAATGTATTATTAGTAGAGGCTTTCATTGTGTAATCTTACTAAACAAATGCTGAACAAGCGCAATATTTGCTTCAGCGTCGACAGCGTCTAAGCAATGAAAGAACACGCGCGCGTCATGCAAGCTTAGACAACTCTACAAATACAAACTTTAACAAATACAAATAACTAACGATAAATTAAAAGATTTTTCTCAACTTATGTCATCATTAAGACTAAAATAGGTGATATGATAAAAGAATAAGGCCGGATATGAACTTGGCGTGACCCAACAGTGGGATAACCAACGGTTTTCTAATGTGTGTATTTCTTTTATATTTAAAAAAAACCAGACTTAGTCTATGACTCTACATGGTCAATGTATATCATACTAATCATACTAATGTCATAAACGCGAAAGTTTAGATGGATGGATGTTTGTAGCTTAAACGACTAAACTGGTTTCTTAATTCCACGCGGCCGGAGTCGCGGGCGAAAGCTAGTAGGGTATAAATTAAAGGACACTGCACAAAACATGGGTATTGACAGGGGGCAGCTTCCTCTCTCCAGAGAATCGAAAAATGAGAAATAGGTATAAAACTACTACGAATACGACCAAAGCTAAAGAACTCCCCCCCCCCTCGCCTCCTGAAGAAATTCTGATAACTTTAAAAATTTATAATGTGATGTAAATAAGCACATTTTCGTATCAGCATTGAACCCAAAGCCGGGATGGGTCACTAGTGTTTTTTTTTATAAAATAGGGTGGCAAACGAGCAAGCGGCCACCTGTATCCACCGAAATGGAAAGCGACCGCTGCCCATAAACATCCGCAATTGCAGTTGCGTTGCCTACCTTAATTGACGGAGGAGGAGACGCACATAAAGAGGACATTTCTCCTTCAAATGCGTCTCCTCCACCGTCAAATCCACTTTTCCTTCCCATCCTTTCCTCTTAAGAAAAGGGTGGAAAGGGAAAGGGACTAAAATAAGTGTTTGTCAACTAATCAATGTAACAGCGTGTAGTCATGGTTAACTAAAAAATTATAAAACTCGTCTATTCGGCATTTCACCCGACTGATGCAATAAAGCGCGGGCTTACAGGCACGCAGCCCCGCCGTGCACACCGCACACCGGTTAGCTGATGTAACTACCAAAAACTACTGCATCAACACTTTCCAAGGTCGAAACTACTAAATTTAGATTCAATTCTAATAATATCTAAGATCCTAAATATTAAATTTAGCAAATAGGGTACTAAAGTGACACGAAATATCAACTTTTTGACGCAATACCATTTCCGACTTACTTTACCTGATTATATTACTTTTTTTGATCGACTTCCCAAAAGAAGAAGCTACTCTAGTCACATACTACTACATTTTTTTTTATGTTGCTTTTTGACTTCCCAAAAGGAGGTAATCAATTCGTCTGTGTTACTGCATATCTCCGGCACTGGTGGACCGATTTTGAAAATTCTTTTTTATCCGATAGTGATAAAACTACGGCGTAGTTAAATAGTTTAGCTCAAAATCGCGTGATGTATCCTAAACTATAAGACTGAAAAATGATGTATGAAATAATTGTAACTCTTGTAATTTTCTAAATTAAATTCCGCGATAGCATATATCTAGCTATTAAGGTTGTCGCACAATAACCACTTTTTCAACTAAAAACTCAATTTATCTTAAGATTTTACTGATTTTTCACTGTTTTTGATATATAATGGATGGAATACAAATGTATCAGTTATTCCGAATAGAAAAAATACCTACATCTGCCTCATTATTAGCAAACTGTAGCAAAGTACGGTAGATGAGGGTTTGTCTCTGCAATTTGAGATTTGTTCCAAATCATTATTCTATTATTTTTAGTTCTCATAGTTATCAATGTTAAAATATCCATAATAATAATCAAGTGTTTTCGTCCTTTGCAATTGTAGCAACAAAATTTCCGCGCACGCATTCAACTTTGAAGGTTCACACATTTAACTGAGAATTGTCTACGATAATAAGCATACACGAATAATGTCTAGTTAGTTTATTTTCTTTAGTAATAGTTAGAAGGGTACATATACCTAAATTTAATTAAAAAAAACTGCCTAAAATTAAAATCTAATAGGTGAATACACTCGAAAACATCGTAAAATATTTTGAAATGTTATGCTGAGTGAAATTCGAATACATTTTTTTGGATTAATCCCAACCGTCACCCCTTTCTGTCCCCACATGAGAACAGATGAGAATAAAAAGTTTCATCCGTCCCACATTTTGCGACGAGAGGACGGTTGGCACTTATTTTACTTTATAAAGGTTCCATCTTTGACCTCATTGGTGAAAGTGGGAGTAAAAGGTGGGACAGATGAAACTTTATATGCTCACATGGGAACAGAGCGGAGTGACGGTTGGGAATAATTCGTTTTTGACACTTTGTTTTTAGGATTTCAACTCTCACATCCACTGTATAACATCTCATTCGTCAAAATCGATTCAGTAATTAAGACTGTAAGCTTATGACAATGGAATCTACATACATACAAACCAATATACATAAAAGAAACATTACCCTATTTGTGAATCATGTAAAAATCAGTCAAAACCACTAGAAGATTTAACGCAAAAGAGTTTCAATACTCTATTTTGTACCACTTCAGAAATTAGTAATTAAATACCTGTACTTTAGGTCTGTAATTTTAAAATAAACGTATTAAGTTGTGACAATTAAAGATTCAAGTGAGATAAGTTGAGTTAAGTACGCGCGTTATCTGAGCGCTGTAACAATTATTAAGAACAATACGGGCTGTGGAATCCGGGGTCAAAGTCCACGAATCCCATGTCGGCTGCGTGGTGTAGTAGTGTCGTCGCATATTGGCGCAACAACGCAATATATATTGTATGAGTTTCTCACGCTTTCAACAGCCAATACATATTGAGCGTGCTATATTTAGTTTGTATTGTAAACTGATTTTATTCTGATGCCTAGGTTGTCTGCTTAGTTTATCAAACTTTGAAGTAAAATGTGTAATGTGTTTTAACTCATTTTGTTATTTAAAAATAGTGTTTTTTGTTAATTAGGAATTTGCATATGAAAGGTTTCAATTGGTATATTAAAATAATATATTTGATATTATTAATTACAAATAAATATACACTAATATTATAAAGAGGTAAGATTTTTGTATATATGAAATAACTCAAAAACTACTTAACCGATTTTCAAAATTTTTTCACCATTAGAAAGGTAATTTATCTGTGAGTAACGCTACATTTTTATTATTTTTTTAATTTCACGCGGATGAAGTCGCGAGCTACAGATACTAATATTATAAAGAGAAAAGATTTCTATTTTTCGTTTTACGTATGTATTGAAATAACTCAAAAACTACTAGGTCGATTTAAAAAATTCTTTCACCATTAAAAAGCTACGTTATCTCTGATAACATGGGCTATATTTTTAAATTTCACGTGGGATATTTACGATTAAAACAATAAATACAACAAAAATCATTGTTTACTTCTAATTCGGTTTATAATATGACTGGCAGATTATAAAATCTTCGAAATTAGTGTAATATAAAATCAAACACATCGTGAAATTTACTTTTACTCTACGAGATTAAATTTATCTGAATCGATAAACTCCAGTATAAATACATTTATTTGTTACATAATGAATCTACATTGACTGACACCGACTTCAAAGTAAAAATAATTGTACAATATAGACATAACAGTTACAATAAGGTAGGTTATTTTATTTTTAGGTATTTTCAAGGAATTATTTCGTTACTTTTTAGTGTACTGTTTTTTTGAGAATATTTTGTTTTTGGTGTATTTTGTTTTGTTTTTCGTGTAT